CTGGACACTAAGTCCCAACTTCGGTCGACTATAGCAAGAATTATTCACCTAGACCACACTGCCGTTCGCTTCAATTAAGTCATTTAGTTGTTTATTTGACTCTCTGTCACTATTATTTCTACATAGCTTACCGTTTAGGCATGTAAATCCCAACATAAAAATATTCACTGAAATCTGCTTTCAAAATATGGCTCCCGTGACGAAATTGTTTACCTCCTCGAATAAAAGAGTGTCCTAGAGTCTGTTTTTACCCTATGTGATGTTCAATAGCCACAGTAGATTTGGTTCAGAGTCACATAGGGTAAAAACAGACTATAGGAACTCTTTTATTCGAGGAGGTAAACAATTTCGTCACGGGAGCCATATTTTGAAAGCAGATTTCAGTGAATATTTTTATGTTGGGATTTACATGCCTAAACGATAAGCTATGTAGAAATAATAGTGACAGAGAGTCAAATAAACAACTAAATGACTTAATTGAAGCGAACAGCAGTGTGATCTAGGTGAACAATTCTTGCTATAGTCGACCGAAGTTGGGACTTAATCTCCAGACATGAATTATTAATGATTGTCCAGGGATTCTGCGACAGCGTCAGTCCAAATATCTAGCCTAGCAGAATCTCAACAGGGATTACATACCAAGCACCCCTTCCGCTTTTCCACAAAACATCCCAAGTGGCAACTATTCTTAAGAAATTTTGTGTGGTTCGCACTCTTTGTAAGGGTTGTCTTAATGAAGGGCTAAATTTCAAAGAGAAATGCTATGAAATACACTAATGAAATTGTTTTAAAAAGATTTGTAAAGAAAGTGTTTTAAAAAGATTTTTAAAATAAAGAAAAAAGTTTGAAGCTGAAATTTGACTTTTAATAGATAAGCAAATCTAACATCGAAGAAAGATTGATACTTGAGTACCGTTCTGTGTATATTTTAGACAAAAATGATATTAAGGCCAAAAAAAAAAAATACCTGTGTTTTCGGTAACCCGACCAACCCTAATTTTACGCGCCGACCCTAGCACTTTTTATTGCAAATCCGGATTACGTACCATAATTTGTTCTAAAACTACAGTCTTCAAAACACGCGCAGTTAAAAAGGCACTTGTAACAGATAATTAAAAACGTCTTTTCAAGCATTTTAAGATTATATACATGCGTAGATAATAGCTCTTTTCCCCTTAGATCGTTCCCTCCTTTACCCTTTAATGACGACTTTTGACACTTAGCATCCAACCCTTAATGAGACTTCTGATCAAATCGATGTTGACACGTGTGTATATTTTCATTGTTGATTTGACTTGAAATTACCGCTTGTTTTTAAATTATCAGAGCACAGGTGGCCACCTGCAGGTTAACAATAGATGATTGCATCATACTACAGTTGGAAATCACATGATATACTTGTTTAAAAAACATAAGAATCTCGGAAAGTCCCACCAAAATTCAAAATGGCGGACTGTTACTTACGATGTTTTTTGAGCATATAACTCAGTCAATACCCAATATTTTCTCATCCAGTAAAGCATTACATGAAATTCAAGCTATCAACTACATATTCCTTGAAAGGTTTGATAATTATAATGATCTACACGTGTAATATACTTCAATATAAAATACGAAAATTTTGTGAAGTTCGGGACCGCGCAGTGCCGATTTCGTTACCTGTTTCTCAGAAATTCAGAAGATTTCTTCCATTTTACGCATAGTTATAAATGTAAAGGTGTAGAAAATAATTATTTTAATAGAATTTGATCATTAAAATGTTCAACCAGAAGTCTCTGTCGAGACTGAAGCTCTACTGGTTTGTTCTTATAGCAAAGGAAAAGAAAAGTTCTTAAGCAGTTGGGAATTGAAACTTTACCACAGCAATAAAAAGAATAATGAGCCTTGATTAAGTCTCTTTATGTTCTTAGTGTAGTCTACTTGCATGCCACATTATATTATAATCAGACTTAAACTGTATTTGGAGTAGCATTTTGAGAGTTTTTAACAGAAATTTTTGTTTTTATTTACCGCGGAAACACGGTTCATCGAAATCAAAAACCGATAGACAGAATTGTGTATCTTAGTGTAGTCTACTTGTATGCCAAGTTATATTGAAATCAGACCAAAACTGTAGGAGGAGTAGCATTTTGAAAGAATTTCACAGAAATTTCTATTTTTAGTAACAACGGCAACACCGTTCATCGAAATCAAAGACCGATAAAGAGAATCATGTATCTTAGTGTAGTCTACTTGTGTGCCAAGTTATATTGAAATCAGACCAAGACTGTAGGAGGAGTAGCATTTTGAAAGAATTTCACAGAAATTTCTATTTTTAGTAACAACGGCAACACCGTTCATTGAAATCAAAAACCGATAAAGAGAATCATGTATCTTAGTGTAGTCTACTTGTGTGCCAAGTTATATTGAAATCAGACCAAAACTGTAGGAGGAGTAGCATTTTGAAAGAATTTCACAGAAATTTCTATTTTTAGTAACCACGGCAACACCGTTCATTGAAATCAAAAACTGATATACAGAATTGTGTATCGTAGTGTAGTCTACTTGTATGCCAAGTTATATTGAAATCAGACCAAAACTGTAGGAGGAGTAGCATTTTGAAAGAATTTCACAGAAATTTCTATTTTTAGTAACAACGGCAACACCGTTCATTGAAATCAAAAACCGATATACAGAATTATGTATCTTAGTGTAGTCTACTTGTGTGCCAAGTTATATTGAAATCAGACCAAAACTGTAGGAGGAGTAGCATTTTGAAAGAATTTCACAGAAATTTCTATTTTTAGTAACAACGGGAACACCGTTCATTGAAATCAAAAACCAATACACAGAATCATGTATCTTAGTGTAGTCTACTTGTGTGCCAAGTTATATTGAAATCAGACCAAAACTGTAGGAGGAGTAGCATTTTGAAAAATTGTTTACAGACAGACAGACAGACGGACGGACGACGGACGCATTACTATCGCATAAGCTCTTCTGGTCTCTGACCAGTAGAGCTAAAAACGTTTAGAAATCAAGTTTTATCACACAAGTTTGAAAATTTGTTGGCGAGATTGACATTGTACTATCACTACAATTATTGATTTCTGAGGAATCAAACTTATAAAATGGATAATAAATAATAATCTAATCATTAATTATAACATCACACATAAATTTCATAGTTTTTAAAGACAATTTTGGCATATTTGTTTAAAATATCTATTTTGCGATTTACATCTGCTTTCACCTGAATTATTTATTTATAGAAAATTACAATAAAAATTCTGTAAATAGATGAGAAAAATTTTATTTATTACGAATCCAATGATATATAATACATAGCATAAAAGAATTGTTTGACCCCTATTAGCATGAATAGTTCAGTTTTAAAATGCACTCCAATTCATTTAAAACGTTGTAAGGGGCAGCCACTAGGCAAACACTCCAGGAATATGGCTAGTGTTTCAAATTGTGGCCCCAGATGTATTGCATCACTTATTTTATATGTGCATCACTCAACTCCAAGTCCACCACATGTTGTCATTGGGTTTAAGCTCAAGAAATGTCCACACTCATACGAAATAACTGCAACATATAACTTTCTTTGGCACTGGACTGTGGGAAATTTATTTGGAGATAGTCATAATTTTGAAGCTAACAACGGCGGTTTAACTCTGACATTATTGGCCGTGAAAGAAATGGATATTAACTATATGTCTTTACATGTAATGATAATGAGGTCGAGGTAGAAGTAGGCCTGAAAAACAATTTTGAATTCTTTATTTTACTTTTTTGTTAAATGTGACAAAATTTCATTATTAAATTGTGATTAAAATTCAAATGTCTTTTTCTGTAAATCAATTTCTTGCAATTGGTTCTGCTACCTACCTCTAGAAAACAAAATACTACTTGTTAATATTTAATATCATATACAGTTTACCTAAAAAACAGTCAAATATAATGTTCAGTTAAAATAAAAAGTAAAAGTAAAAAAAAAAGTAATTGCCTACCTACCTACCCTAATTTTGAGGGACATGTTACCGGAAACACACATATTTTTTTTTTTTTGGCCTAATCAAATAAAAGAAAGAGGGAAATTAACGAAAATCACCACTGTTCATTGCGATTTTCAATTTCTATTAAAATAGCTTCAATTTGTTAAAAAAAAAAAAAAAATTCCCTCCCTCCCTCCTGGGTCTGAAAACCCCCAGGCGGCAATTCCAAACAAACATTTTTTTATTTTATTTATTTATTTATTTATTTATTCAATTTGACAAAAACCACATGCGGCGCAAGTCATACATACAGTAAACAAATATAAAATATATAGTCACATAGATTTTCTTATATTACATGCATCACGTATGAAGTTACAAATATTTCTTGTAGAATTAACATCTGCTGGATTAAGAATTTCATAAGATATACATGTATTATTAAAAAGTGTACAAAATTCACTTCTTAGTTGTTTATATAGAGGACATACAAATAAAAAATGATGTTCATCTTCAACGACATTTTTACAATTAATACAAAATCTTTCATCTCTTGGTATAATTGGGTTACAATATCTGCCAACCTCTATCTGTAATTTGTGAGCACTTATTCTCAATCGAGTCAAAAAAGAACGAAGATTCTTGGAAATGGAAAAATTTAAGTATGGTTGAATTTCAAGTTTGTTTAGATTCCCTTGACTTATTAACTGGCTGTAGAATGATAAGGATGGCCTAACTTTTACAACATATAAACAACTATTTTGAATAAATTAAATTGTTCTTATTTGCAAAGAATTGTTTTCTTTATTTCAATACAAAAAAAAGATTTTATAACCAATAAAACATATTGTGATACATATCTTATCGTGGCTCAAATGTCGTGATACGTATCGATATGCCCCTGTAGAAAAAGTCACTGCCCTACTTGCAGTGCGTACCCGCAAGCAACCCCCTACCCCCACAAAAAACAAGACGTGGATGTAGGCTATTGGATTATGTCTGTACATTTCTCTAATCTACCTTTCCTTCCTGCAGCACTTGATCCACCGTCTGCCTTTGTGCGAACCATCATCAAATGTGTACTGTTTACTTCCCGCCCGAATCTGACATGCCGCAAGAGTCAGTCGGAGCATCTCGCGTGGCTTGCTAAACATTCACTCGGCACACCTCGGTCGTTCGACAGGCTGTAAAACTAGATTTTGGGGCTCCCGAATCCCTCGGTACAGGATAAGTGCACTTAAAGCTATGAAAGTTGGGTCCCGGTGTTTTGTGCAAAATAAAATCCCGAATTTCATTGAATTTATGTTTTATAGGTATTAAACTATGTCTTAAGAGCAGGCTTAATTTGGTATATTATATTGCATAAAAGTACTAAATAATGCCGAGCGACACTAGCTTTTGAGACGGGGGTCTAACAATTTGTCACATTTCTATTGTTATTCATATGCATACCCAGTTTTCAACGACATTGTTTACATCGAGCCGCAACTTTGCCATTGGTCTGATTTGCACAGAATGTGTATTTTAATTTATATTTTATACATATCCAATGGACAATGTTGGCCAAAGTTGCGGCTCATATCTAATTTTTTGAAAAAAGTCTCCAAACTACCGTCAAGTTAGACACTAAATTAACAGGTCCCCGAGTGTCAACGATTGATATTATAATCACTTTACTCACGTTACATTGAACATTTCATTGTGTTTGTCATTTGAAGTTTCTATTCGGACAGTATCTATCCTACTTCCAACTTCAAACAATGGAAGATTTTTGCACAAATTTTAAAAGGTTCGAAGATTATATGTCTCTAATTTTACTGTGTATTTTTCGTTAGGAGTGTTTTAAAAGAATTCTGGTATTGGTAGTGAGATTAGTAAATATTAGCTGCAGATCTGTAGCGTTATGGTTTTATATCAAAAAAGGTGCAATCTACGGCGCAACATTTTTTGCGCACTTTTGGAGAGAATTTCTCCACTTTCTATCATTGGTCAATTAACTACCATTCACTCCCTAAGTCTAGACACATTCTGCAGCCAATATGTACATTTTATCCACCTCCCAACCCTTTATAGTTGTCTCTACAGGCAATAAACTCGCTTGAAGTAAATTTTCAGCTATCTAACAAATAAGAAGACGGTACGGTTTGAGCTTAATAGTGCCCTAAAAATTTAATGTTCTTAAAAAGTTATGAAATTGGCTTTAACAATTGTTGAGTAGGTGAATATGATAAATCATTAAAAAATATGGCATGAAGAAGAACATTTCTTGAAATATGACGTCATTAATTTGGTATATTTTTAAGTTTAATGCAGAAAAGCTTCAATATGACTCGTTTTTCTGCTAATATTCCTTTAGAAAATAGTGTCTGCCACCGTCGCCCGCCTTAATTTTTGGATATATTGTGCAAACAGCTATGAAAAATCACATATCTCAAAATCTTTTAGGGCGACGGTGGCAGAGTATGTTTTCTGAAAGAAAATTCCACTGAAAATTGATGTCTTCTGCAACTTTTTAAGAAAATACGGGAAAATGCACAAGTTAATTACGTCACAATTGGAATTTAGGAGGTCATTTGAGAAAAACCATTTGTGTATTCTTACTACAGAGAATTCCCAAGATTCAGAAAGAATGAATTTTAATTTCTTAGGGCACTTTCATATTTTAGAAAACATATAGGGCTTTATTTGTATTGAAACTGTACCTTCTTCTTTAATCAAGCGAGTTTATCACTTATAGAGGCGACTATAAAAGGTTGGAAGATGGATAATGTATACAGATTAGTTAAGTAATGTGCCTAGAATAAGGAATTAAAAGGTAGTTAATTGACCGATGCTGGATAGTGGAGAAATTCTCTCCAAAAGTGCGCAGAAAATATTGCGCCGTAAATTGCACCTTTGCATTACGGGATCTGTAGCGTTATGGTCAAAGACAAATATATAAAACCATAACGCTACAGATCTGCAGCTAAGGAAATATAGGCTCATGTCGCCTCTGTATTATGGTCTGCAGGGCGATACATCTACCCCATCCCTAAACACTAGAATCACAATAATCATAGATTAATTTAGATATATATTGTAATGTAAAGATTAAAATGGGTAGCCAAAAAGGTTCCAAATGACGTACTAAAGTGCACTCATTCTTTACATTAACTTCCAGTGCACGTGCTCGACATTGTAAGTGCAAAAAGGTTAAGAAAAGTAACATCGGTAAATAACTTATTTCTCGTTAGTTTGAGGGGAAGGGTAAATACTTGAATCACTTTTTGTAATCATTTGGGTATGTTCTTCATCATATGATAGATTGAAAACATTCTGACAAAGCCTTCTAAAAATATTTACAAAGGTGGAAAATTGACAAAAAGTAATAGAGTTCATTTGCCTATATTTTTTTAAAATGTGGACTTATCTAGGAATATTAGCATGATTAGTGACGTTAATGTTTAACAGGAACAAATTATTTATTAATATTGCAATGTCTCCGTTGCTTTAGGTTTTAAGTTGATCAAACTTACCTTCACATGAACGATAGTGTCCCCTTAAAATAAAGAACCTACATTGCTTGGGCGTCGGATCCGGGGGGAGGCATACCCCCCCCCCCTTTGCAAAGATAGACATAATATAGGCATTGAAGATTAAGGCACTGCCCCCCTTTCAACAGGCACGTTGCAGTCTTGTAAAAGAAGGGCAAGTTGTAGTGTTTGGGAAAAAGTTAGACCCCCCCCCAATAGGATTTTCAGATTTAGACAACAATGGTCAAATATTTCTTTTTTCCATCAAGTTTTTTTTCTCAGGTTTAAATTTTTTTTCTCTTTGAATTAAGTTTGTTCAAATCATGACCACTGGGGGTAGGGTGGGACCACAATGGACGATCAAAGTTTTAAATAGGAATATATACCGGTATTGGAAAAAATCTTCCAAAATGTTCCTTCTCAATAGCTGAAATACCATGATAAGGGAAATTTGTATATGGAAGCATCTGCAGATGATTTAGATTAAAGTTTGTACAAATCATGACCCCCAGGGGTAGGATGGGGCCATAATATACTATCAAAGTTATACATAATGAATAAGGAAAATCTTCTGTAGGGAAAAAGTCTGTCTGTCCGTCTGCCTGTAAACTTTTCACATTTTCGACTTCTTCTCCAGAACCACTGGGACCAATCTCAACCAACTTGCCCAAAGCATCCTTGGGTGAAGGGGATTCAAGTTTGAATATTTTGAAATTGCTTTTTAAACCCTTTTACCCAATCATGAATGACCTTTTGATGGCAAATTTAAATTTGGCACAATAGACAGTTCCATATTGTCCATTACTCATCTCTCCAAAATACTGTGGTATGTAACATGCGCAGATCATGATTAAGCAGAATTATTTCTGAACTGAGTCATGATGACAAATCAATGAATTACAGTTTACAATCATACCATTCTAATTAAAATTAGATCGTTGATCCGCTCCAGTTAGATCGCTACGTTTGTGTAGTGATCTAACTGGAGCGGATCTAAGATCTAATTTTAATGTGTAGCGATCTAACTGGAGTGGATCAAAGATCTAACTTTAATGTGTAGTGATCTAACTGGAGTGGATCAAAGATCTAACTTTAATGTGTAGTGATCTAACTGGAGTGGATCAAAGATCTAACTTTAATGTGTAGTGATCTAACTGGAGCGGATCAAAGATCTAATTTTAATGTGTAGCGATCTAACTGGAGTGGATCAAAGATCTAACTTTAATGTGTAGTGATCTAACTGGAGCAGATCAAAGATTTAACTTTAATGTGTAGTGATCTAACTGGAGTGGATCAAAGATCTAACTTTAATGTGTAGTGATCTAACTGGAGCAGATCAAAGATCTAATTTTAATGTGTAGCAATCTAACTGGACTGGATGAAAGACCTAATTTTAATGTGTAGTGATCTAACTGGAGCAGATCAAAGATCTAATTTTTATGTGTAGTGATCTAACTGGAGCGGATCAAAGATCTAATTTTAATGTGCAGTGATCTAACTGGAGCAGATCAAAGATCTAATTTTAATGTGTAGTGGTCTAACTGGAGCGGATCAAAGATCTAATTTTAATGTGTAGCGATCTAACTGGAGTGGATCAAAGATCTAATTTTAATGTGTAGCGATCTAACTGGAGCGGATCAAAGATCTAACTTTACTGTGTAGTGATCTAACTGGAGTGGATCAAAGACCTAATTTTAATGTGTAGTGATCTAACTGGAGCGGATCTAAGATCTAACTTTACTGTGTAGTGATCTAACTGGAGTGGATCAAAGACCTTATTTTAATTAGAATGAATTGACACACTGACTGCAAACAAAACCACTCACTGGTGCATTTCACAGGTTCAGACAGGTACTACAGTCAAACTTGTCTAATCAAGATGTGGTGTATACTGAAATCTTTCCTAATACAATCTAAACCTGATGTTTCATTCAATAAATTTCAATGTTTATAATTTTGTCTGGAATGATGTCTATAATCTGGCCTTTTTTTTCTGGAACCAGTTGTACATGTATCCTGATAAGACAAATTTAACATACTACATTATTCTGGACTTACTAGTATTCTCGCCAGTGACCTGTATAACTTGACTTTTATTGTTGTTCATGTGTAAAACAAAATTCACAAGGTTTCTAAGATGTCATATTTTAGCATAAACAGCAAAATAAGAAATTTTTATTTCAAAAATGAAAAGTTCCAATATAAAATTTGATTACAGGGTAGTTATTTATAATCATCAAATCTGCATATTTATTGATATTTCAGCGAGTTTGTCAAAGGGATAAGTAAAATTGATTCATCTGAGGGTACAAAGGTGTGGTTCTGATGAAATACAAAAAAGTTAATATTAAACACATACACAAAGATGCCTGACACGTTTCGATCTTCAATAAGATAAGATAACTTTCGTCTGGGTCCCAGATGAAGGGAAAAAAATATGATTGAATGAAAAAAATTGATTACACTTTATTCACCAACTTTTTCATGATGGGGACAAAATATAAAATAAATGTTCATGTAATAGTTGATAGAAACATAACCTATTGTAATATAAATATCTGCAAAGACCACACATTTTTTGCCAAAAAAAAAAACCAATTTAATAAGGGAGCCGACTGGGGGTTTATTGTGTGAATTAACACCATACAGTTGA